TGGTAAAATGCTTCACTTCTGTCCAGTGACATAGCTTAGAAGTCTGTGATAAGGAACATCCAGAAATACCTAGCCAAGCATCTTATCCCTGATTCTGTCATGATCACGTTTTAGTTTTTTCAAAGCATTCTTTTTTGTTATTTTTTTTTTCACATAGAAACATTATCTTAATATATACTGTTGTGGTTTAAGACCAGCCAGCAACTCAGAACCACACAGCCGCTTGCTCACTCCCTGTCTTCTTCCTCCCCCAGCTCTGTTGCATTTATAGCTTCATAGAATGTTTTGGGTTGGAAGGAACCTTAAAGATCACCTAGTTCCAACACTGCCATGGGCAGAGACATCTTCTTCTAGATAAGGCTGCGCAAAGCATCAGCCTGGCCTTGAGCACTTCCAGGGATGGGGCAGCCACAGCTTCTATGGTCAACCTGTTCCAGTGTCTCACAGTAAAGACCTTCTTCCTAATATGTAATCTAAACCTACCCTCTTTCAGTTTAAAGCCATTCCCCCATGTCCTATCACTACATACACTTTGTCTTTAAAGTAGAATAAGAAGTCTTTTGGAAAGATTTCACTGTTTATTAGAGAAGTCATTAATCAGTCTGGAGATGATGGACTCGGTGAAATTCTTAAATGCCACATGATAGCTGGATTTTCCAGCAGCTGGGTAGAGCTGAGCAGCTCTTTTATTTTCTCTAGGGATTACACTCTTCTTATCCCATTTCCTAGCCAATGAGCTTTTACTTTTCAGTTAAACTCGGTTCAGTTATAAAATCAAGTGTCTGCTAGAAGTCTTGTGTGTACCCTGGAGAGTTCCAGAACTGCTGCCAATTAACGCAAAACACTCCTGATCAGATACAGGTTTAGGGAGAGCTGTTTACTTTTCTGACTTAGACCCACTGGAATAATTATTTTGTGAAAAAAATTAAGGGCAAATTTAACACTCTTTGTACTGGGAACCTATCTCACTTCAGTGGATGAACATTTTTCATAGTAACCATTGTTTCTTTTCCAAATTTTCATGTTACTGTCGCTAGGAGGGTAGACACTGTTGGTCAGTGTAAGGACATCAGCAACTATTTTTGGTGCGTATTAAGCTTTTGCTCTGGGATTCTGCTTTAAGAAAGTGTTTCCTTCCTAAATGAATCAGTTGAACTGATTTAAGTTCACATGGCATCAATTGGTTTATTTAATGTTTTTTTCCCCCATTGTCCCTGCTAGTTTTTAGTTCTGACTAAAATGGGTTATAGCCTTTACCTCATGGAGGTCTCAATTCTTGAATGAGTAACAGAAGAATCCGCCTAAAAGGCAAACGTGCTTCATTTCTATCCCCCAAATGTACCTTTAATCCCATGTACATAGAAAATTGCAGCACCCCCTTTATGTGTTCCCACCTGCTTGTTCTTGTCAACTGAGAGTCACTGAGTCATTGAAGTCTCGGCAGGTTAACCATGGGAGGAGACGAGTATGTCTAGTCTGCATGTCCCCGGCATTGGTTCAGTCACTACTCTTTGCTGCTCCTGTTCCAGTATAAGACTTCTGTGTGGATCCCAGATGTCATGAATTACTAGCTAGTGTGAATGACTAGAGTAGTGCTAAATTTTTCAAGGGGTCAAAGTAATCCATAAATTTAGGTAGTGAACTAGTAGCACATGCTGAGAACCTCATGTCAGAAGCAGACAGAAATTTGACCTTACATGGTGGGCTGACCCTAACTGGACACCAGGTGCCCACCAAAGCTGCTTTGTCACTCCCCTCCTCCACTGGAGAGGGGAGAGAGACTATAATGAAAGCCTCATGGTTTGAGATAAGACCAGGGAGAGATAGCTCACCAATTACCATCACAGGCAAAAAAAGACTCAACTTGGGGAAATTAGTTTATTACCAATCAAATCAGAGTGGGATAATGACAAATAAAACCAACCCTTAGAAACATCTTCCCCCCCACCCCTCACTTCTTCCCAGGCTTAACTTTACTCTTTATTTTCTCTCCCTGAGCTGTGCATGAGGACAGGGAATGGGTGGCTGTGGTCAGTTGATCACACTTTGTTTCTGCTGCATCTTCCTCCTCAGGGGAAGACTCCTCACACACTTGCCCTGCTCCAGTGTGGGTCACTCCCACAGTAGACAGTTTCCCACGACCTACTCCAATGTGACTCCTTCCCATGGGCTTCAGTTCTTCATGAACTGCTCCAGCATGGGTCCTTTGCGTTGGTGCAGTCCTTCAGGAGCAGACTGCTCCAGTGTGGGTCCTGTGTGGGGTCACAAGTCCTGCAACAAACCTGCTCCAGTGTGGGCTCCTCTCTCTGCAGGGCCACAGGAGCTTGGTCCAGCACAGGCTTCCCATGGGTTCACAGCCTCCTCCAGGCATCGCCCTGCTCCAGAATGGGGTCCTCTATGGGCTGCAGGTAGAGATCTGCTCCACTGTGAACCTCCATGTGCTGCAGGGGCACAGCCTGCCTCACCATGGTCTGTACTGTGGGCTGGAGGGGAATCTGATCTGGTACCTGGAGCATGTCCTTCCCTCCTGCACTGACCTTGGTGTCTGCAGGGCTGTTGATATCACATATTCTCACTCCTCTCGCTGTCTGCAGTTGCATGGTTTCCCCTCACCTTTATTAATTATGTTATTCTAGAGGTGCTACCGCCACTGGTGATGGGCTTAGCCTTGGGCAGTGGTGGGTCTGTCTTGGAGCTGACTGGCATTGACTCCACTGGACCGAGGGAAAGCTTCTAGCAGCTTCTCACAGAAGACACCCCTGTAAGCCCCCTGCTACCAAAACCTTGCCACTCAAACCCAATATTTGCTATAGTGGTGCTGCAAGCAGCTGAAACTGTATTGACTACAGAAGGTCTTTACTGGCTTATTTTAAGGTCATTTGAAAGTTTTTTGCACACTGCAAACATGTTTCTTCATTTTAACATTCACCATCTCCAGCACCATTAAGTCAGTCTAGGTATAGCTTATTCTGCTGGTAGGTAAAATCTGCAATAACCTTTGAGGCAAAAATCCTATCCAAATCCTCCCCCTTGCAATGCAGTCTTGCATTTTGTTACAGCCTTACACTGCCAGTGAAGCAAATGAGATACTTGAGTGCAGACTCAGACAATATTTGAACATTCTCCAAAGCTCTGGTGTATGTATAAGATCTGTGAACTACTTACTAGTTTGTGTGGTGTTGCTGGAATCACTGTAATTGCCTAAAATTCTAAAGAAAACTTGTCATTGGCATTTTAAATGTCTAAACTTTAAAAAAAGCTCTAGATAAGGTTAATTATCTTTGTTTATATTGCTGCAGTTGGCCATCTTTCTTTTCTGTAATTTGTAATGAATTCAATTAAAAATGGAGGTGGAAATGTAATAACAAAAAGACAGACTGTGGCATCTCTTACACACGCAAAACCCATCAGGTAGTAAAAACACTTTAAATGTTGAGAAAAAATTTCCATCCTACTTCCCACCTGACTGTTCAGGTGAGTTTGGGTAAGCTTTGGATTGTATCTCAAAATTCATTCTAACATGGTATACCCATGGATACCTTTTGCCATTGCTAAATGTGATATGTTCCATTCTGCACCTAACTGGGTAGGGAAGGAATAAATAGCTTGATACAGATACATATCTATCAAGGGTTATTTCATCCAGTGATAACTCTTTCTGGCACTTTATTTATTTTCCATTTTAAAATAAAAACTAGAAAGACATTTGAAAGTGATAGGGAACAGTTCCATTAGCTGTCTGAGATTTCAGATAGGAATTCCCCAAGCACTATGCAACTTCCTACACATCCATCAAGTGCTGCTCATTATAATTATCCTGTTAGAGTGAGGTACCAGCTCTGATGAGAAGCCGTATGGTGGAAGAAGCCTTTTACTTCAATGTTTTATTAGATTCCAGTTGGTATTTTACAAAACAGCTGAGTTCAAAGCTAGCTGGCTACAACAATCTCCCAAGCGGCTTTAAAAGACGTGGCTTCTTTAGTGCGTACTAGCTTTTTCTATTACTAAGGTTTTATTTACATGGCTTGAATGACCTGGTTGAATCATCTGTAATGGTTGAACAAAACAGTGATTTTTTCTACAAATTTCAGGGATACATGCTGGTACAGATTCTGCTGACTGCTTTGAGTAAATGTGCTCTTCTTCTGGGCACATATCATCATTGATTTTAGGGCTAGATAACTGAGGTAATCAACTGTGTTTGTCATTGAAAAGATGTTAGATTTCACCACACTTTCTGTGTATGTAATCTTTTAATAATTCCTCAAAATGCCACATGGAAACCATGGGACCTAGCACTGGGCAGGAAATCTCACTATTATTTCATCCAAGTACTGTATTCAAGTGACTTTCTTTGAGTTTCCTTATGAATTCTGAGGTAATTTCAGAATAATTGTTTTTAATTATTTGCATTAGTATTGAGTGGACTTTTGTTATCTGTAGTAGCACAAGGCTGTGTCACTCTGGGTAAAAGAAAACGAGTACTTCTTCCACAAGTTTTATATTGAGTATTTGAAATAAACCCAGGAAATTTGCTTCATGGTTTGCCCCACGTAGTAGATTCAAGTAGATGAGGAAGTTTTTACTTTTAAAGTTATGTTGCATTGGTGTAAATGGAAAAAAAGAAACAACAACAAACCACAAAAACCTGTCAGTAACAGCTGCCTTTTGGCTTATATTTCAAAGAAATCAGTGCATAGCCAATGCAGAACTTTAGTATCACATCTTGTGGACTTACTGTTCCTTCGGTGTCGCTTCCTGAAGTCAGCATAGATCCAAATGAGTTTGATTCTCTTGACATAAAGCTGAACTTGAGATGGAATGGGAGGTTTTGGAAAACACAAAGTAGATGTTGCCATGTTGAGATGGTCTGACTTGATAAGGGATATTATTCCAGCCTTGAGTGCCATTAGGCACTGAAGTTTATTTAACTATGGATGTTTTGGGATGACCAAAAAAAATAAGTCAGGTTTATTATATTTGATTTCTATTATTTGCAGGGGAATGTGACATTTGCTTGCTCAGAACCACAAATTGTTCCTATCACCTTTCTCAGCAACAGTCAAAGCTACTTGCTACTACCTGGCACTCCTCAAATTGATGGTTTGTCGGTCAGCTTCCAGTTTCGAACATGGAATAAAGATGGTTTACTTCTGTACACTGAATTGTCTGAAAATTCAGGACCTCTCTTGATTTACCTCCGTGGTGGGAGATTGACACTACTTATTCAGAAGGGGACAGAGAACCCAGTGGAAATCACTGAAGGTACTTATTTTTTTGCTTATGCTCATCTGCTCTCTTTAAAATGCAAAGGTCCAACCCCATAGGATGAAAGGATGGTGAAATAAGGAAGCACCCAATATGCCTTTCTCTTTTCAAATCTTCTCTTGCTTTCCAGTGGTAGAACCATTCTGTGCAGCTTAAGATAGATCTAAGCATGGAAAATTGGCATCCTGAGATCTCCAGATGCAGTCTACCTGACAATCAGCTCAGCCTCTGTGTTCTTAAACAGACACATTAAATTTTCTTTGATCAGCTCACATGAAGACCTTGCTGTCTCCTGTCCTGAGATTGTCTGAAGTCAGCTGGGAGCCAGCAAAGCTGTTGCACCATTTCCCAGTACAAGTGAAGGCAGACTCAGGGCTGATTTTCTTCCACTTAGTTTTACATTCTCCCTCTATGCTATGCTCAGAAGTAGGACTAACCGTGGGCTTCCTCTCCTCACACTCCCTCAATTGGTCTCCTTAGCCACTTTGCATATGGCTTTGTGCAGTGCACCTGGTGGGATGCAAGAGGATGAAATGGGGTTGCTTCTCTGACTTAAAATTCAAGGGAAATTGTTTGTAACCACTTACCAGAACAGCTATGCATTCAGTCCCAGAGACAAGAGGGAAACAATTTCAGACTGTACAACAGAGGCAGGACCAGAGTGCCCCAGCTGCCATTTGAGTGTGACCTATATAAGCTATGCTGGTGTCCCAAACAGAAATGTTCTTAGCCCAGGGATTCTGTGCTTCCCTTCCTGCTATGCAACCATGATGGGTGGGAGACTGGGAAATTAATTTTCTTCATAGGTTGAATACCTGTTTTGCAAAGGTGGGTGAGTAATAGACTGATGGAACTCAGATGGAACTAAATAATAACGGTATTTTCTAAAAGAGCAACTGTTTAAAAATATGTAATATTAGAATATTCCCAGTGCAGGCTAAAAGAGGGCAGATGTGTCTATTAAAAGAAGCAGAGGTAAAATCTGAAAGAGTTGTCAAAGCAGAGCTGTTCTGTGTGCATGTTTCATTTCTCTTTATGATAGAAAATGAGGCAGTCCTGCATCTATCCTTATATGTGAAGGTTGCTACAGCCTTAGCTTCCTGCAACTGAATGCTGAAACTCAGTTTCCAGCTTCTATTGCAGTCAAATTGTTGACAAAGCTGAGACAATGTCAATATTTAGATGGGTGTATTCGGTTTTATGTAGTTCTGAAATCATGAATCTGAGCCCAGCCTTTGTGCTATCCAGAACATTGCTAAACAGCCTACTTACATACGGAAAATATGCAGAAATTGCAAGTGCTGTGCTCGGCAGATGTCAGGTACTGACAATAAAGTCATGCTTGCTCAAGAATAGACCTATTTTTGCCCCAAATGGGACCTATTTTGTTTTGACATCTTTTCAAACTTCAACAACATATTTCACTTCAAAATGGACTTGTTCTAGTTGAAAAATAATCCAGTTTTGATGGGAAGCCAGCCTCTTATTCTATGGAAATTGTGAATGCATTAACAGACATTACTGTCAAAATTGTCTCATTTTCAAATTCATAATGAAATGGCTTTTCATACGTGTAACACCCACATTTTTTTTAAATTTTGTTTTGAACTGTTCTCACACCTCTTTGTGTCTCTAAGTGATCGTTTGCTTCTTCTGAAAGCTACATTACTGAAAAATATTCCATTAGGGAGGGGAGTAAATACTAGTTATCTGTGCCTGATCTCGGTGACTCCAGCCTGACGGTAGCTATTTTGAACTGGAATTATGTTACTTTTGATCTGCACCACAGTGTGTGAGCTCAGAAGCTTGCCCACTGATTTTCGTGACTGTCAGAACAGAGAATGAGGTGTTTCTTTGCAGCAACACTGATTTTCAGAATAAGGAAACAAAAAGGTTATTTCCCACTTTGCACAAGTGTCTAGAAGAGAAAGAGGCTACCCAGTACCATAATCTCTCATGTACGTTGTTAAATTCCTGGTCAGAGCATCAATCCCAGCTCTCACAAGACCCATGTCAAAATCCAATATAGAAAGGCTTTGGTACATCTGTCAATAAGACTGTGTGCTAACTTAGCACTCAAGGGTTTTAAGAAAAACAAATCCTACTGATACCCACTGGAATTTGTCAGGTTTCATACTGGAGCCTGAGGTGGGGTATGGCTATCTCATCGAGCCTAATCCTCTGCAATCTCAGGCATGTGTTTAATATCAGAAACATAGCAGACATCTTCTCTGTGAACTCCTGTGAGCTACAAGCATGTCCCAGCAGACTGAAGATAGACATAAACACCCACAAAATGGTAATAATGTGCTACCAGAAAGATGAAGGGCCTGGCTAGCTTGATGCAATACCAGAAGCAGTTTAGATTAAAATGTGAGGTGACCCACTTAAATCCTTTCAAAAGCTTTCACTTTCTTGGGCCTTTCCTTCTATGCCAGTTTGTTTCCAGAGGTAATGAGTTCTTTTCAGCTGCCAGTTCTCCCTTTTTTGGGGGTTAAATGCACATTTGTGTTTACGAGTTGGAAGCAAAAGGAGGTTTGAAGAAAACAGTTATCTCTGCACCTCTTTCTTCACTCTTAGTACTTTTTTTTTGCCAGGCACCAATCTCCACGATGGCCTTTGGCATTCCGTTAACATCAATGCCCGAAGACATCGCATTACCCTGACACTGGATAACAACGCTGCCACTGCTAGCCATGCAACCACTGCCTCAAGGATCTACTCTGGGAACAGCTACTATTTTGGAGGTAGGTTGTTTCAGACAGATGCAGGACAGGTTTTCATGATGCAGATCCTCAAGTGCCTCACCACTGAGGTCTTCCCAGGTGCACTCTGTTTGCAGCTAAGAGTAAATGTTGTAATACTAATTTTAGAATCTCTATGGAGCTGCAAGTCATACAGCACTGTGGGAAGGTAGAAAGGTTTTGGTCAACCCTGACAGAGGGAGAATGAACGGAACTGCTAGCAAAGCTGTAGAAATGGACTACTGGTACTGGGGTACCAATGGGTACCTACATCTAGCTGGCAAAACATACAACAGTTAGCTGTATTAGCCACAAATGTTTTTTTCTAGTTAAAAGTCTTGAGGACTATTAGTATTATTATATTCCTGTAGATATCACTGTACTGATCAGGCTCAGTGACTTTAAACTCTGAGCTTATTGACATATGGCTCAGATCTACAAAGATATTTATGTACTCTGCTCACATGGAGATGAATGTAGATTTGGCTCAATTTTGAAAATTGAAAGAACAGTCTTGTAAAATACTACCTTCTGCTTTTTGCAGTGCAAGCATTAATTTAGATAAAGGGAGTGCCATCAAATATCTTTTTATCTAATAGATTTCTGTGTAGCACTTACCATGGTGAGTCTCTGGTCTCAGTGAACCCTCTGGATACAGCACTAAGTGAGGATGCACAGGAAGCTTTGAATCTGAAAGCTGGCCAAATGCTGAAGAAGATCAGATACAAATGGTTTTCCTGCTTACTGTCCACAGAATTTCATCCATTTACTGTGTACATTTCTTCAGCAGCAGAATTTAACTCATAATGATTTTACAATTTGCACAGCTTTTTTAGTGGGATTCAGTTGCTATCAATTGTCGAGTTTAAAGACAACAGAAAAAAAACCCATATTTTGATAAGCATACACGAAACCTCATGCTCTGATATTTCCAGTGGCTGGATGCTCTCTTTTTTCCCCTCTCTTTTTTTTCTTTTCTTTCTTACAGAAGGATTTATAACAGAGAAGGCTGTGTAGCATAAGGAATGAAAGCACTTGGAATAATTAGTCTCTGAGTTTTTGCATCAGGAAATCCCAGCAGAAATAGATGAACATTCCAATATTATTGTCTTTTCTCTTTTTCCCACAGGGTGCCCTGACAATTTCACCGATTCCCAATGTTTAAATCCCATTACCGATTTTCAAGGCTGTATGAGGCTCATCTTTATTGATAACCAGCCCAAGGACCTCATTTTAGTTCAGCAAGGCTCTTTAGGGAATTTTAGTGATTTACACATTGATCTGTGTGGCATCAAAGACAGGTAATTATTGGTTCCTCTTTCTTGTATTTGTTACTTCTTTCATCCTAGTGGTTTATAAATAACAGGTTGCATTAAGTGAATTTTCTGATCTGCCAACATTACAGATATTAGTTATAATAGAGCTACTAATAGAAAATATTACAGCAAAGATAGGAGGACTGGAGGGGAAATGGTTTCAATTACATGAGGCTCTCTTCAGACTGACTTGTAGGAAATAGAGTATGCAAATTCAGTCAAACTACAGATCAGTGAAAAGATTAAATTTTATGCATAAACAACATCTGATTGCTTTGAAGTTTTAGAGGAAATGAAAGAGAAGGAAAAATTATTTGATTCATCAGAATGTGTCATCCCCCTAATATATTAGCTATTTTCACTTAAGTAGATCATTTGCAATTTTTCTTGTTAGCCATTACAGCACAGCATGTTTATAATGATGATATGGTACACCTCACACAGCATAGTGCCCATTCAGTGGGACAATATAATGATGAAATGCCTGTATCTACCAGAGACACAGTTTAAATACTGATCTGAATCCCTCCTAAGCTAAAAGCTGACAGGAAACCCAGATTTTCTCATAAAGACTAGAGAAGGAATAACCTTCTTCTTAAGTATTTCATAATTTCTTCTTTGCTTCCTATGGATTTTTAGAGTCTAAATATTTCTGAATTATTTCAGCAAATGTTTACTTTAAAGTTAGCACATGGAATAACAGGTTCTGATATTGGTTTTGGGCTGGGCTTTAGGGTTGTTTTGGTTTTGGTTTTTGGTTTTTTTTTAAATCTAGCTAAGTTCTGAAAATGAAATAGCTGGAAATTTCATGTGCTTCAGATACTTAAGGAAGTTGTAAGGATATTTAGGAAATTAATTAGGAGCTTATGCATTTACATATTTCTTTGGATGTTGCTTAGAGAAGAGGAATGGAAGGCTGTTCTCCATTATTTACTGTAGGAGGATCAGCTGTCTCGCACTGCAGTCTTTTGAAAACTGGACAAAACTCCTGTTATCTGAGACCTGTCTACTCATTTTTCTATGTTCATGTTTGTTAGCAGGTATAGAGAAAATGCCTTCTCTGCTATAAAACATTCTTCCATGTTTAATGAAGACTGAATTCAGGGGGATATGAATTTCAGTTGATATGCCTGAAATGATAGACAGAATTGATAGATGTAGCTGGTTTAATGAGAGGACGCAAACTGTAAATTTTTGTGAGAATTAAGAGAAAGAATTCTGCCGTTTTCTTGGAAAAACAATTTTTTTAAGATAAAGAGGACCATTCAAAGGCAACTTGTGTATTTGTGTGTTGAAAAAGAAGAGAACTTTTCTGGTATAACGCAGAGGCCCCATGGGGGGTCTCGAGTGCTTATATTGCTCGGGCTACAGCATAAATATGTGGTACCACAGTGTCTTTCTCATCTTCAGTATCTCAAAGACAACAAGCATGAGGCTGTGATCATAGCATACAATTACTTAGGGCAGGGATCCAAACATAGTAAGAATGGTGGCACTTTATACAGGCATTGCCTTGAAAATATCATTTTCAAGGGCCATATCAGGGTTGGAAAGCAGAGGAGGTACAAGCTCCAAACGTATCAGGGTTGGAAATGACCTCAAGATCATTTAGTTCCAATTCCCCTGCCACGGGCAGGGACACCTCACACTAAACCATGTCACCCAAGGCTTTGTCCAACCTGGCCTTGAACACCTTGAACAAGCATTCACAGCTTCCTTGGGCAACCTATTCCAGTGCCTCACCACCCTTACACTAAAGAACTTCCTCCTTTCCAATCTAAACTTCCCCTGTTTTAAGTTTGAACCCATTACCCCTTGTCCTGTTGTTAAGGTCCCTAATGAAGAATCCCTCTCCAGCATCCCTATAGGCCCCCTTCAGATAGTGGAAGGCTGCTATGAGGTCTCCATGTGGCCTTCTCTTCTCCAGGCTGAACAGCCCCAGCTTCCTCAGCCTGTCTTCATACGGGAGGTGCTCCAGTCCCCTGATCATCCTCGTGGCCCTTCTCTGGATTTGTTCCAACAGTTCCATGTCCTTTTTATGTTGAGGACACCAGAACTGCACACAATACTCCAAGTGAGGTCTCACGAGAGCAGAGTAGAGGGGCAGGATCACCTCTTTCAACCTGCTGGTCGTGCTTCTTTTGATGCAGCCCAGGATACGGTTGACTTTCTGGGCTGCGAGTGCACACTACTGGCTCATGTTCAGTTTCTCATCAACCAACACCCCCCAGGTCCTTCTCTGAATCTCTTCTTTGCCTAACCTGTAGCTGTGCCTGGGATTGCTCTGACCCAGGTGTAGGACCTTGCACTTGGCATGGTTAAACATCATGAGGTTGATATTGTCCCACCTCACAAGTGTGTCAAGGTCCCTCTGGATGGCATTCCTTCCCTCCAGCGTATCAACCGAACCACGCAGCTTGGTGTCATCGGCAAACTTGCTGAGGGCGCACTCAATCCCACTCTCCATGTCAGCGACAAAGATGTTAAGACTGGTCCCAACACCGATCCCTGAGAGACATCACTCGTTACTGGTCTCCAGCCGGACATTGAGCCATTGACCACAACTCTTTGTGTGCGGCCATCCAGCCAGTTCTTTATCCACCCAGTGGTCCATCCATCAAATTGACGCCTCTCCAATTTAGAGACAAGGATGTCATGTGGGACAGTGTCGAATGCTTTGCACAAGTCCAGGTAGATGACGTCAACTGCTGTACCTCTGTCCATTAGTTCCACATACCCATCATAGAAGGCCACCAAATTGGTCAGGCAGGTTTTCCCCTTAGTGAAGCCATGCTGGCTGTCACCAAGCACCTCATTGTTTTTCATGTGCCTTAGCATGCCTTCCAGGAGAATCTGCTCCAAGATTTTGCCAGGCACAGAGGTGAGACTGACTGGTCTGTAATTCCCTGGGTCATCCATTTTCCCTTTCTTGAAAATGGGGGTTATATTTCCCTTTTTCCAGTCATCGGGAACTTCACCTGACTGCCATGATTTCTCAAATATGATGGCCAGCGGCTTCGCAACTTCATTTGCCAGCTCCTTCAGGACCCACAGATGGATTTCATCAGGTCCTGTGGACTTGTGCATGTTCATGCTCTTAAGATGGTCCTGAATCAGATCCTTTCCTACAGTGGGCTTAAAGTCTTCATTCTCACAGTCCCTGCATCTGCCTTTCAAGACTTGGGTGGTGTGGTCAGAGCCCTTGCCAGTGAAGACCGAGGCAAAGAAGTCATTCAGAACCTCAGCCTTCTCCAAATCCAAGGTATTCAGTTCTCCTTATAGCTTCCAGAGAGGGTCCACATTGTCCCTAGTCTGTCTTTTATTTGCAATGTACCTATAGAATCCATTCCTGTTATCTTTCACATCCATAGCCAAGTTTAATTCTAACTGGGCCTTAGCTTTCCTAACCTGGTCCCTAGCTTTCCGGACAGCATCCCTGTATCCTTCCCAGGCCACCTGTACTTGCTTCCACCTATTATAAGCCTCATTTTTAACCTGTAAGTTTCCTCAGCAGCTCCTTATTCATCCAAGGAGGTCTCGTGGCCCTCCTGCTGCACTTTCTTCTAGTCGGGATGCAACACTCCTGAGTTTATAGTAGGTTATCCTTGAATATCAACCAAGAGTCTTGGGCCCCCCTGCCCTCTAGGGTTATATCCCATGAACCATTACTAAACAGGCTCCTGAAGAGGCCAAAGTCTGCTCTTTTGAAGTCCAGAGCAGTGAGCTTGCTGCACGCTCTTCTCACTGTCCTGAGGATCTCGAACTTGACCATCTCATGGTCGCTACAACCAAGGCTGCCCTGGAGCGTCACATTTCTGAGTCCTTCTCTGCTGGTGAGCACAAGGTCAAGTACGGCACCTCTCCTTGTCGGCTCCTCTATTACATGCAGAAGGAAGTTGTCTTCTACACAATAGAGGAACCTCCTGGATTGCTTGTGCCGGGCCGTACTGTTCTTCCAACAGATATCAGGGTGGTTGAAGTCACCCATGAGAACAAGGGCCTGCTTTTCCTATCTGTCTATGGAGTGCTTCATCCGCAGGTTCTCCTTGATCAGGTGGTCTGTAACAGATCCCCACAGTAATGTCTCCCGTAGCTATATTCCCTTTAACCCTGACCCACAAACTCTCTGTGGACTGCTCACCTGTCCCCAGACAGAGTTGCATACTCTCCAGCCTATCCCTAACATAAAGGGCAACTCCCCCTCCCCACCTGCCAGGCCTGCCTTTTTTAAAGAGCCTGTAACCTTCCGTTCCAAAACTCCAGTCATAGGAGCCATCCCACCATGTTTCAGTGATACCTATTATATCATATCCCTGTAGACGTGCGCACACTTCTCTAATTCCTCCTGTTTGTTCCCTATACTACAGGCATTTGTATATCACACATGTAAGAATTATATGTGATCTGGTCAAGACTAAAGCACTCTCTTCTGATGTGGTTCTCTGGACAGCATTAAATTTCTGTGGCTGCACTATATGATCTATGTAGATCTATAGTAGTTATGATAGATGGTGTCCTGGTTTCAGCTAGGATAGAATTAATTTTCTTCCTAGTAACTGGTATAACACTGTGTTCTAGGTTTAGTCTGAGTATAACGCTGATAACACACCAATGTTTTAGTTCTTGCTCAGATAAACTGGGTTTTAGAGAGAGAATATAGTTGTGTAAGCATATTATATATGCACACCTTCAAATGCACACCCCCTCCCCAGGGTTCCTGCTATAAAGCGTTGAGCCTCTTAATTTAAGTAGGGGTCACCCAGCTCTTGTCCTGGTTGAGTGGCCAGATCAGGATGTATCTGTAAGAACTGGGATTAACAGATAACACACAGAAAACTCATGACTTCTGTGCTTTCAGTCTGAGTTGAACGCAGCAAAATGTCCTGATGATGGAGGAAGGTTAGTTAGCACCATCTCCTATTAAGTGATTGTTTCTAGCCCTCAGCTGCAGTGCCGTCTTCACTGATGTTCCTACTGCTGCATAT